ATAAATAAAATTGTGGGCATAAAATAAATAAATTAAAAATGTTTAAATGTTTCAAATAGAAAATAACTGTAAAATAAATTCGATAAAGTACAAATAAAAGTATAGCCTTTTTAAAATTTTGCATGGTAGAACCAGAAGCTGCTCTTCATATTAGTGACAAACAATAACAGTAATAACAGCTTTTTGACAAAATGCTTAAAAATTAATTAAAAAATTAATTTGATAAAGTGCAAATTAAAATATAGTTGTATCTGCAACTGTATTTGATAAAGTTTTGAACTTTTAAAATATTGCATGATAGAACAAGATGCTGCACTTAACATTAGTGACAAACTTTGGCTTTTTTTTAAAGGGTTACCTTCATTTTTGCTTCTACTTTTAATTTAAAATAGGTTTCCATTCTTGGCAGCTTTCTMAGTTTCTTCTTCTACGTATTAAAAACGTTGTTAAACATCTGAGTGGCGCACTACCTCTACTACTGGTGAGAAAGTGTATTGCACCTTATTCAAAATCAATGCGGTCCCACGGCCTAAAGTTAAAAACTGTTGTTCTTTTGAGGCCCCCAAGGTAGCGCTCGCGGCCCATAGGTTAAGAATCTCTGCTTTAAATCACATTCATACACTGATAACACACACATCACAGGCAGTGGGGGGTTTAGCGTCTTGCCCAACTTGTGACTGAAAAGCAGGGAGTCAAACCGACAACTCCCTTAACCACTCAGCCACAGCCACCCCACTGTGTAATTTAAAAATGTACCAAAAATATTTGTGATGGTAAGATAATTTTGTTTGCAAAAAAGTACATTTTAGACAATTTCAAAGCTTTTGGGAGGTCTGTCAGATGAACGTGAAAATTAACCTTAAACTGTGATTATTTATCAAAATCAAAGTTTAACTTTTTGACCCATGTAAACCTTGAATGAATGAATTGTTTAGTTTTACAGAAAACAGAAAGCCTTAAAGTTTCCTTCTATGTGAGGACACAAACCTGAACATGTCCAACTTATTGAATATTATTATCAAAATATGAATTATTTTTACATATAGTTTATTTTCAAATGTTCTTCTCTGTCCCTTTACTCTAATTGAGAAAAACTCTGGAAGTTTTTTAATGCTGACATTTTGCCTATTCTGTTCAGACATTTTGTTGTCAAAWCTATGTATTTTTACTTTTGAGTGAAAATAACCTCTTAAATTTGAGTATTTGACCATTCAGCATCAGTCTAATGTCTCCTCTCTGGTGGTTTAAATAATCTGTCAGCGTTCCACTGCTGCTTCCTTCTCTTCAGACCCCATGCATTCATTTACAGCCTCATTTGTTTTATGAAAACTGAACTGCTGGCTGTAGGATTAAACCTTTTTTATTCTGAGTAAATTTAAAATTCTCATTTTACTTGAAATCATAAAATGAATCCATCCATGATGGAACAAAAACCAGAGAGGAGGACTGATCAACTTTACCTGTACCTGCAAAATCAATCAGTAAAACTGTAATTAAACATCTTTAAAAACACAAACTGCTTCTACTGACTGATCTAAGGTGGGTCCATATTCTGTCCTACAGGACTGAGGTCAGGTCAGATCATGTCGTAGTTTATTAGTTGATTTATCCTGGACTGTTTATATTAATGAACAAAGAACTAAATAAAATTAGCTGAAAGGGTGATTTTTTATCACATGGAGGTTTTACAAGTCACTATTAAAATACAATTTAAATTTATAGCTCCAAATAAATATGAACAAAATGTAGATGAGTGTAAACTGCAGAGTCCAGGGGCCTCATGTACAAAGACTGGTGTGGATTTCTTACTGAAACCTGACGTACGGTCAAATCCAGAAAACGGCGTACGCACAAAAACATCCCGATGTACATGTATCAAACTGTGCGTAYRCCTGAATCCACGCACATTTCTTTTGTACATCACAATTAACGTGGAACTGAGCGCAGGTAAGACTCCTCCCCTGACACACCTTCATTAACATATGTTAAACAGAT